TGTAAAGGGCCCTACCCGCTCTGTTCCCATTATTCCTGTCCAAAACATGACTCCACCACGGCCTTGCTGACGTCGCAGCCTTGTTGAAACAGGGTGGCCGTCCACCAACCATCCACTACTCTATCCATCTGGAGTATCCAGGGTTGCATGGCACTCATCAGTGAACAGGACTGTTTGAAAAATTAGTCTTCATGTATTTTTCTGCCCAATGCAGCCGCTTCTGCTTGTAAGCATTGGTTAGTGGTGGGCCGAATAGAAGGTTTATGCACATTTGCAAGACTCTGGAGGACTCTACACCTTGATGCCCGTGGGACTCCAGAGGCACCAGCAGCTTCAAATATCTGTTTGCTACTATGTAATGGTATTTTAGCAGCTGCTCTCTTGATCCGATGCATGGATCTGGCAGAAATCTTCCTCAATGTGCCTTTATCTGCACAACCCATCTGTGCTTTGAATCAGCCACAAATCTCATAATAGTGCGATGATCACGCTTAAGTTTTCGGGAAATATCTAATGTTTTCATACCTCGTCCAAGGCATTGAACTATTTCACTCTTTTCGGCAGCAGAGAGATCTTTTTTCTTCCCCATATTGCTTGAAAATGGTGCTCTGCTTAATAATGTGGAACACCGTCCTTTTAGTAGTTTTTCCTTAAATTGGGCTCACTGGCCAATCTAATTATCACAGGTGTCCGAGATTGTTTTCAGTGATCAAAAGAGCCCTGACACACAATGCCATCCATGAGTTAAATAGTAGGGGTAGGTCAGGTGGGGATTCACCTTCCCTGGGAAAAAGGTAGTCCAATCAGCACGGCTTTCTTAAAATCTGACTTGTTGTCAGTTTTATTTACAAGGTTGCAAGCATCAATACAAACAAAACAGAAAATAAATCCTCGCCATCCAGGCACTAACTAAACACAGAAGATTCCTCTCTCAAAGGTGAAGGGCTTCTCCCTGTCACCAACAAAAATGAAAACAGTATGCAAACCTTTTCCTTGCTTGTATAACACAAACTTTCATCCACAGCTCACTCAGACATGACTCTCTGAGTCCTAGGCCAAGAGCAACTTCTTGCTCAAGCCCTGCCTTATTTATACCACGTGCTGGTGGTCAGCAGTGGACCACAAAATCTGATCCGGAAACACCTCTGCTATAGTGGCCCAGAAAACCCGGAGTGGACTCCACCTTAATCTCCCAGATATGATCTCATGTGAGGTGACACATAGCGTCCATCAATCACCTCGCCTTTCATATACGGTCACAATATATATATATATATATATACAGTGGGGCAAAAAAGTATTTAGTCAGCCACCAATTGTGCAAGTTCTCCCACTTAAAAAGATGAGAGAGGCCTGTAATTGGCATCATAGGTAGACCTCAACTATGAGAGACAAAATGAGAAAAAAATCCAGACAATCACATTGGCTGATTTGGAAAGAATTTATTTGCAAATTATGGTGGAAAATAAGTATTTGGTCACCTACAAACAAGCAAGATTTCTGGCTCTCACAGACCTGTACCTTCTTCTTTAAGAGGCTCCTCTGTCCTGCACTCATTACCTGTATCAATGGCACCTGTTTGAACTTGTTATCAGTATAAAAGACACCTGTCCACAACCTCAAACAGTCACACTCCAAACTCCACTATGGTGAAGACCAAAGAGCTGTCGAAGGACACCAGAAACAAAATTGTAGACCTGCACCAGGCTGGGAAGACTGAATCTGCAATAGGCAAGCAGCTTGGTGTGAACAAATCAACTGTGGGAGCAATAATTAAAAAATGGAAGACATACAGAACCACTGATAATCTCCCTCGATCTGGGGCTCCACGCAAGATCTCACCCCGTGGGGTCAAATGATCACAAGAACGGTGAGCAAAAATCCCAGGACCACACGGGGGGACCTAGTGAATGACCTGCAGAGAGCTGGGACCAACGTAACAAAGGCTGCCATCAGTAACACACTACGCCGCCAGGGACTCAGATCCTGCAGTGCCAGATGTGTCCCCCTGCTTAAGCCAGTACATGTCCAGGCCCGTCTGAAGTTTGCTAGAGCGCATTTGGATGATCCAGAAGAGGATTGGTAGAATGTCATATGGTCAGATGAAACCAAAATAGAACTGTTTGGTAGAAACACAACTCGTCGTGTTTGGAGGAGAGAGAATGCTGAGTTGCATCCAAAGAACACCATACCTACTGTGAAGCATGGGCGTGGCAACATCATGCTTTGGGGCTGTTTCTCCGCAAAGGGACCAGGACGTCTGATCCATGTACAGGACAGAATGAATGGGGCCATGTATCGTGAGATTTTGAGTGCAAACCTCCTTCCATCAGCAAGGGCATTTAAGATGAAACGTGGCTGGGTCTTCCAACATGACAATGATCCCAAACATACCGCCTGAGCAACGAAGGAGTGGCTTCGTAAGAAGCATTTCAAGGTCCTGGAGTGGCCTAGCCAGTCTCCAGCTCTTAACCCCATAGAAAACCTTTGGAGGGAGTTGAAAGTCCGTGTTGCCCAGCGACAGCCCCAAAACATCACTGCTCTAGAGGAGATCTGCATGGAGGAATGGACCAACATAACAGCAACAGTGTGTGCCAACCTTGTGAAGACTTACAGGAAACGTTTGACCTCTGTCATTGCCAACAAAGAATATATAACAAAGTATTCAGATGAACTATTGATATTGACCAAATACTTATTTTCCACCATAATTTGCAAATAAATTCTTTCCAAATCAGCCAATGTGATTGTCTGGATTTTTTTTTCTCATTTTGTCTCTCATAGTTGAGGTCTACCTATGATGCCAATTACAGGCCTCTCTCATCTTTTTAAGTGGGAGAACTTGCACAATTGGTGGCTGACTAAATACTTTTTTGCCCCACTGTATATTATAGTTGGTATGTAGGCATGCTTAGGTTTTCCTCCATCCAGTAGGTGGCGCTGTGCCATCATACAAATGGAGTGGAGTTTGTTAGGGTATATTGTCCTCTCATGAACTACTCTTGTGGTGTCTGAGAGAAAACAGCTGTCTGATTGGACGTTGCAACCTCTGGAGACCTTCGGCATCCATCTTGGGTGAGGGAATCTTTTAAATAAAGTGCCCCACATATTTTTGGTGGGCTTATGGCAAGTGGATGATAAGGAGATAATTAGCTCAGAGTTAGTTCCTGGTGAGGAGGGATAGTTTAGTGGAGCCTCCTTCTTCACTATACACACTCCAGTGAGCAGTGCAGAGAAGTTGAATCGGCGCAGACTGCAGCAATGTTTTCTTGTCTATCCCCAGAAGGGACACTACTCCTAGTGATGAAAGCCATCTTCTGGTAACATATGCTGTAAATGCTAACAGTATGTATACTCTCTGGACTGTTGATTTCAATGCTGAAGATCAGTTTATTTGTTGCTGCAAACCAGCTTTGCAAGAGTTATATAAAATACATTGTGCCATATACAATGTGTGCAAGAATTTCATCCCAATACAAAGTACCCAACTTGGGGCCCACCTACAGATGTCACAACAATCACACATTTGGTAGCAGTAAAATGTTATAAATCATGGATGCTGTACTGCTATTGTACCTCCTACTCGCTAGCTCCCTTGTCTCCTCCTCCCATGCTCATCTCCAGGATTTCTCAAGGGCTTCACCCATCCTCTGGAACTCCCTACCCCAATCTATCAGGCTATCACCTGCTCTGCTCTCTTTTAGGCGCACTCTGAAAACCCATCTCTTTAGGGAAGCCTACCCCGACCCCAGCTAATACTGGAATCCCCTACTCTTCCTACCACCCCATCCCCCACAGCTAATTTCCTCTTGTACCACTATTCCCTCCCTCCTAGATTGTAAGCTCCAAGGAGCAGGGCCCTCCAATCCCTCTTGTATTGAACTGTATTGTTACTGTATTGTCTCCCTCCATAATGTAAAGCGCTGAGCAAACTATCGACGCTATATAAGTCCTGTGTAATAATATAATAATAATAATACTGCATTACAGTTTTATCAATAAGCACAACCTAACATAATGGGCAGCTCCATCTGCTGTAAACGCTAATAATTGTGAGGACCAGTAGGCAATTACCACCCACATCCCCATACCTTGGTGGTGCCCATGATTCCTTTGCTGCCTGTATCGCACACTTTTTGGCCCATTTGACCTTTAGCTTTTAATCTATTGATTCTGTATGATTTTTATAGTTATCTATCTTATGTACATCAATGGATAAGAAAATAATGTTTACACACAAATTTCATATAAATAAAAAAATGAGATGTCCTCCTTAAAAAAAAAAAAATAACAGCATTCGATGCTGTTTTACTGTGATGAAGATGTAAATAATAAAGACACCTAACACCAGGATACAGATCATAAAATACAATAGCTAAATGTATTCTTGTCATAAACAAGATGACATATCATTGATGCAAAAGCTGGGCAGTGACACACTCGCAGGCTGATTTGTGAACAAATTGTTGCTAGGATATGGGAGGATCTTTTTGCTCCCAGGAGGCCATCGACTGGATGAATGTTCTTTCTATTCATCTCCCTACTTCTTGTCCAGCGTATGGGAGAAGCAGTGCAGCAGAAGCCTGAGAAGAGGAGGAAATGTTCAGCTGATCAGGGGAGTTACACTCAGTATATATTTATCCTCCCTTCTCCATTTCATGGAATCAGGAGCAGGGCAACGCAGGGGGCTTATGGGATGCCATATAAAGACCTGTCACTGGTGAGGGGTGAGGCAAAGGGAAACTGGAAATATTAGAGAGAGAGAGAAGGAGGATGTGCCAGAGCCAAAGAAGAAAATAGGGAGGTGGAATTTCACGTGAAAAGAACTGGAGAGCAAAACACAACCAGAGGAAGAGATGAAAGGGAGATATACAAAGCAATCAGGGGGTGAGATTTAGAAAGGGAGGCAGAAGAACATAGTGTCAGACTGTTCATCTCCATCACACACACAGCCATTAGCAGTGCCCAATCCTACTGACTCAGCAATCTGCACTGAAAATATGTTGCCTGGCTCTGGAGATACAGCTGAGGGAGGACCGAAAGACAGCCATGTCCCCGCACAAAACCCTGAAGGGAAACAAACATGGGAAGAAGCCAAAGCCTTCTATGACAATCTAACTTCCACCAAGAAGCCAAAATCGGTATGTAAATCCTATGTCTCTTATTACTAGATGTTTACGTTCCTGCACCACTCAGGAGATCACTAAATATAATGTCATTGCAGTGGGAAAGTTATTGAGCGTGTCCCGACATACCGTATGACATCTCTTTCTCTGTGCTTTATCTTATCGTCTTTCTCCATGTTTTCTATTTCAGTCCACAGTTCTCAGAACGGATGGCGTTAGCTAACTAGCAGAGAAACTGTGTATGTGAGGCTTGGAGTGTCAATGCCAGGGGACAGTGTCAAGCTTATGTCTCTAGTTCTTATGAAGGTGAATGCTTGTGCCTAAAGCTTTGCGACCTTCAAATGTGGAATCCATAGCTGATGTAGAATAGGCGACTGGCCAAGGTCACTGACCTATGACACTAGGAAAATGGCCCTGGAACTAAATATACACATAACAATGTACATGGCTGGCACACATGAATGTGTATTTATATATAAGCACATTCAAATTAGTACCGCTTGTTTCATACAAGTATAGCTCCGTCACCAATGTATCCACCACCTCCATTCAACTGTTGATCTACCACAAATTATCCCTTGACCATATTATGTTTTCATTTTATATATCCCTTGACCTGACCATGCATATGCGATGAACCACAGTCTATAGCAGTGGTTCTCAACCTTCCTAATGCTGCGACCTTTAATACAGTTCCTCATGTTGTGGTGACCCCCAACCATAAAATTATTTACCCAGTAATTATAATTCATGAAGTATCGTTTTACCTTCAATACTGCTGCTTTCTATATAGTAGCTGCTTTCTACACAGCAGCTGCTTTCTACACAGTAGCTGTTCTTTACACATCGGAAATATGTGTTTTCCGATGGTCTTAGGCGACCCCTGTGAAAGGGTCCTTCGACCCCCAAAGGGGTCGCGACCCACAGGTTGAGAACCACTGGTCTATAGGATATAAGTACTGAATTATACTTCTATATCCCATTACACATATCAATTTTAGAGTAATATACAATTAAACCATTGGTTGTAAATGGTCTTGCATTAAACAGTAGCGAGCTGGTGAAATATTCCAACCTTAATGATAAGTCTTTTGCTGTGCCACCCCAATATATCATAATAACCAGTGACAGATTCTTCATCTCAATGTCTCAGTTTAGTCATTCTTCGTAATCATTCGTATGTTGAAGGCAAAGCTGCATATTGATCCTCTGCAGTGAATCTACCCACCCCCAATATTACTCCATCAGTTTTACATGCAAGCTTAAAGAATATTATTATTATACAGGATTTATATAGCGCCAACAGTTTGCTCAGCGCTTTACTATATAAAGGGAGGCAATACAGCAACAATACAGTTCAATACAAGAGGGATAGGAGGGCCCTGCTCCTTGGAGCTTACAATCTAGGAGAATATAATAAACATATTTAGGCTTAGCACTGGGTCAACAGAAAAATCTCCCTTTAGCTGTGACAGATGACACAAACACGCTGTCACCAAATACTGTATATAGTGATGAAAAATTAAACGCACTTCTTACAGATGATGCTGCCCATTCTCTACCATGCCATGGGAATCTGACAAGTTGCCAAACAACAACACCGATTTTCTTTGCTCCATGAACCACAAATAGGTATACATTTTAGGAAAAATGAGGAAAATGTTCATCTTTGCACGATTTGGGTGCAGAAGCTTCCAGCATAAGATGAGGCAAGCATGTAAGAGCAAGGGTTAATGTGTGTTAGGGCTTAGTTTATAGCTTAGGTTAGTGTTGGTCTTAGGGGTTCAGTGTTTTAAGGCTAACCTTCAATCTTGCAGAGATGTACAGGCTTCTCTCCTGTATTAAAATTGCTTAATCTGATTTCACTGCACACTCTGATCTTCTCACAGTGTGCATTAAAAGCTGCAACAAGTCAAGTAGAATTTATCTCATTTCCTGGCTAGAGGACATCCAGTATCCATCTAGCACTTTTTTACTGTTTATGGCCAGTACCTTCCATTAATTGAATTTGTTGTTTCAAACATGGAGGCTCAACATTACATCCGGGCATTACCTAGGGCAACCTGCATGCAAATACAGGCTGCCTAGGATCCCCACTCCTTCATACTGAAATCCACCCATCAGGTCATTTAGACATGTGAAAAACGCCTGCCAAGAGCCAGCCCACTGCTTTCATCAGAGTTGAGGGCTCTTGAAAGAAGTACAGAGGCAAGTTTCTGTGATTTTTTTTTTTTATGAAGTTCCCCCGCTCCCACCCCCTGCCACCAACCATGATCTGCTAGCACTGCATAGAGATGCAGTGAGACCCAGTGAGTTCAGTTCCACTTTAAGGTTAGGTATACATGTTGTTGTAAAGATATATGAGCCTTTAAAAATAGCAGTCTGTTTTCTTGTATGTGTGCGTGCCTAGCAGTGCTTACAGTCTCATAGCTATGTATCTGCAGTGTGAGATGAAGGTCCAATTCAGACAGGCGATCAGCTTTTCTACCGCAAGAATCTGTGGCCGAACAATTTCAGCTTCATGTATACCTGTGGCCAAGCAGCAGTGTGTGGCCAGATTTGCACCCTGTATAAATGAATGGCTGGCGCTGCAACTGTTCATATGTAAATGCTCATCCAAGCAGTTACCTGCAATTAGGGGCTTGCATCTAGGGCCAGTGTTTTTGACCACATATAAATTGAATACAGATAATCACCCAGTAATCTGTATGTGGCTATAGCACAGAGTGCTGCTGCGTCTAGAGGCTGGTGTTTAGCTGATTCCAAATGTGGCAGCTTATTCTCCTTCCTTCACCCATATGAATGAAGCCTTAGGCACTGCTGCCTCTGAATGTCAGTTTCAGGAGATTTGGAGTGAGATTTGTTGAAGCCATTAATGTACTGCTCACTGTTCTCCTTTCTGGAGGCTCTGACATGAGGAAGCAAAGCCCTGGCTCTGCATCCCCTTAATGAAGATGTAAATTGTGTAAAAATAATAGCAGTAAAAATGTGGGGAAATTGCAAAATGGCAGCAGCAGTTTCAGTAATGCTTTTGTAAAAGTTAGTGCTAAGCTTAGAGTGGGGACCAGTCAATATGTCCCAATGTTCTAAATTTAATCCATGCTCCAATAACTGTTACGGTGTGTTCCCTCCAGGGTGACCATTGGTCCTGTGTACACTGCTTTCTCTTAATTGTGGTTATTGATGGACAGTGTATTATGCACTGATCTCACAACCCCCACAGAGATGGATTATACCTCTTGAGGCCTGTCATCAACGCATTGATCATCAACGCACACTTATACAAATCCTAATCAACAGTCTCTAAGTACTCCACTATCTTTGATAGCATTATATGTCATGTCAGATGAGCTGAAAAAGCAATTATATCCAAGCAAGAAAATCATTTATAACTGTCAAAATAATCTAATTCAGTGCACTGATAATAATGGCCACATGGCTTTGATTGTAATGACATAAGCAGCATCTTTAATGAAATTAATGAGACAATTTAAAGATTAATGCAATTGATAGTCCATAATCTACACCCCCCCAAGTCTGGCTTTTTCTATTATCATTAAAAGATGGACCTTTTCCTTTCCCCTTTCTTTTCTAGCTATCCATGCCCTAATAGTCCTCTTGTTTTGAATCGCATTGTAACTGTACTGTCTCCCTTTATTTTAAAAGTTAGGTGCAAACTGTTGGTGCTATATCATTAAAGGGGTGAATAAGGTTCAATAGGGCAGTATTTTCAATAGTAAAGCGGAGTTCCGGTTCCACCAAAAAAAAAAATACTGTAACTGCTGACTTTTAGAATTAGGGCATTTACCTGTCCAGGGATCCTGCAGTGTCCTCACTCCGAGCCGATTGTTCAATTGGCTGTCGGGTGCTGGCGCTACCATCTTGACTGCTGAAAAACAGCAGTTTCCTACTGCACATGCTGCGAAGCGCGTTTCACTTTGTGAATGGGCCACAGTCTTTTGGGACCTGTGAAATGTCCCAGGGGGCTTAGGAGGGACAGAACTGAGCTCGAAGTGGGACCGGGTACCTGTCAAAACCAGGTACCCGCTCCCCCCCCCCCCCCCCCCCCAAAAGGTGCCAAATGTGGCAGTGGAGGGTGGGAGGAGGCAGATGAGTGGAGCTTACACTTTTGGGTAGAACTCCACTTTAAGAAAAGATCAAGAACATGACCTCAAACTAGCAGTGGCCCCAGACTGACTATTGAGCCAGTCAACAATAAATGGTTTAAAACATGCTGGAGACAAACATAGATTTATACTTAGACAAAAAAAGTTAAAAAACAAATAAGTAAAATGGGGCAGACTCGATGGACCACTTGGATGTTTTTCTGCTGTCACTCTTCTGTGTTTCTATATAATCCAGAATAATAATAATTATGACCCATGATGACCTTAGATATGGTGTCTAGTATCTATGCAGTTTTGCAATTTTTTGTATTTTATGTATAAATATAAGTCAGGTGTATTATAGCTGTCAGTCATTATTAACTTGCATATAGCTAGCTTATAACACTGCTAAAAGATCCATCACTGCAGAAATCAATCTGTTCTGTGCATAGTTGCCAACAGTCTCGAATTGGCTGGGAGAGTCACGGAAATTTGACAGCTGTCCCAGCCTGATCTTGTCCCAGGCCCGAAAATCTGAGCAGATCATGGAACCTGGCGCAGACTGTCACTCAGGGCCAACGCCAGGATGAGGGGGCGGTAAAATCCAGCTTGTCTTGGATATCCCTAAGAACGCGAGCAAAGAGTAGCATCTCTGTCCACCATCCTTCCCAGGGGACCTACAGACCCCCCCCCCCAGAGCTGCCTGTACAGGGAGACCCTCTGTACACAATGATCTCTGACAATGCTGCTTCACTGCACTGGGCAATGACAAAATCTTCTAGCAGAGTGGCTGGCAGATCCAGGATGGCGGAGCGGCACTGGCTCAGAGAATCACCAAGCAGAGAGACATTTCTTCTAAATGGAGCAGGTGTGCTAATTCTCCTGGTAAAACTCCCAGCCCTCTCCTGC